GTCGCACGAGACAAATTCTGTTTTTAATTCTTCCGAGAAGAGCAGAGCGTTTGAAATAAACCGGGCCTCAGTTCTTAGCCTTCGAGCAATCGATGGTGGACACTCGGCGGTCTCAAAGTTTTTTAGGTTCCTTGGCCTGGCGCCGATCAACAAAAACGCCTGGGCGGATCATACAAAAAAGATCGAAGGAGAGGCAAAACTTTTGCTCGAGAAAGAATTAAACCGTGCTTCTCGTGGTGTAAAAGAGTGGAAGTTTTCCAACGGAGAATTAAACTGCTCACTTGAAGATGTTGAAGAAAGTGTTGTGGATATCGGGGTGACGATCGATGCATCGTGGAGTGCGCGAGGATGGTCAGCTTCGGATGCTGTGGTAGCCGCGGTTTCTGTTGACACAGGAAAAGTTGTGGACGTGGTTCACCTATGTTCTTGTTGCACTGAGTGTAAAAAGATGGAGAAGAGGAAAGAAGAGAACATAACCCGGATGGACTATCTCGCTTGGTTCATTAGTCACGAGCCAAATTGCTATGTAAACCACGAGAGTAGTGCTGCAGTAAGTTGTAAATCCACATTTTTTAAACTAAATTCCTATGTAGATACTGACAAAAAGGGAATTTCAGTAGTTCCTTAAGTTGTGTAAAAACGTGCAAGCAGATTTTTTTTTTCAAGAAAAACAAAAGCAAATAATTTAGATCATGGGCAATACCACCTGAAAACAGATCTTCAAATGATAAAATTGGAGGATTATTTTGCTTTGTCTTTCCTCCTAAGATGCAAAGCCTAAATTGTTGTTTTTTTGTATTGTTTTCGTTTAAAAATATTTTTTGTTTGTTTATAAAAATTCATGTGATAATATCAGTTGATGTTTCACTTAGTAATATTACTGCATATAACACTAGTACAGTTCATTTGTTTTTATAATTGCTTGGCCGGTTCAAAACACTGTGCCCTGGTCTAACAGAGTTATTACCCATTTCTTTTGTTTTTGAAGTCGATGGAAGCAGCGGGTGCCAAAATCCTGTACCAGCGGTCATTACAACTGAGGAAGTTACGCTACATCCCCTACATTGGGGATGGAGAGCAAAGCCTACTCTGCTGTTTGCCAGGAACAACCATATGGTGCAGCGGTATTTACTCCCAAAGAAGAATGTGTTGCCCATGTAACGAAACGCATGGGAACTGGCCTCAGGAAACTCGTAACTGAATATAAGGGTAAGTATGGTTTACATATTTACTGCATATTCCATGGTATACCACGAGAAAACGTTGCATAACTGTTTTATACCATGCCATAGAAAATACAGTGCACGATGGGAAGGGTGGGTGTAATACCGTGGAGTATACAATGGCTTTCCTGTGTTCTGATTGGCTGTATTTTCTATGGTATGGTATATAGAGTAATAGAGGGGTAACGATTTATCAGGTCCCATGCTTTTGCCCTATTGGCTGTGCAGGATTTTTTGTTGTTGTTGTTGGCGGGGATTCGAAGTCTTCTCCAAAAACTTTTTTTCAACGCAGAATTTTTTTCTGTTGGTTGCTGTGCAAGATTTTTTTGAAAAATTTCCCTTGTATAATATATATATTTTTTATTTGGCCCACCCCACCCCTCCCAATAATTTTCCTAATGTTCCGTCCCTAACAACATTAATTTTTGTATGTAATCTTACTCTTTTTAGGTAGGAAGTTGTATGATGGTAAGGCATTAACCGGCACTGGAAGATGGACCTTGGCAAGAATTGACACCATATAGAACTTTTTCGGGAGAGCAATCAGGGACAATAGAAGTGATGCAAAGGAAATGGCCAGGAGTACTCGTGCAATACTAAAGCACTACAGCAGTACTGTTGAAGAACCAAAGCACGATGACTGCCCTGCCGGCGCCTCCTCCTGGTCTAGCTTCCAGAGGGACATCGCCAATGGCACCAACCTTCACAAGCCTATCAAAAATCCGCTCTCTGATGCTGTTGTGGAGGTAATGCAACCTCTTTTTGACCGTCTGGGAGATGAAACCTTTGTAATTGCTTGCGAGGGCTGCTACACACAAAATAGAAATGAGTGCTTACATCATGTCATATGGGGAATGGCTTCTAAAGAATTGTTCAGCTCTCCCCAAGAAGTCAGCTTGGCCATATGTCTTGAAGTGCTACAATTCAACCAGGGTTTCAATGCCACCTACAAAGAGCTTCTCCCACCCCTTGGCATCCAGATTCAACCACAAATGGTTGAAACTTGGAGAAAGATTGATTCTGATAGGATCTACAAATCTGATTATCGGAATACTCCTGAAGTTCAGAAGCGGCGAAAGATGAAGAGGAAGGAAATGCTTAAAAAGCAGGATGCTTTCATCCATGAGGAAGGTATCATGTACCAATCACAGGCACCTCATGGTGGAAAGAAAGGAAATAAGACAAAGAAGAAAGCAAGCAAGACCAACAAGAAAGCCCCAAAGAGCACGAATAAAGGCAAGGCTGTCAGTGGAGCAGAAAGAAAAAGAAAAAGAAAAGAAATGAAAAGTAAAACCCGAATCAACTACTGACACTGCATTACGCACTAAGACTGTATTTCTATTTAGCATGGAGAGAAAGGTACAACCTTTCTTTTGATCATCATTTACAATTTTTGTATATATTTGCGATAAATTTATTAGAAGGTCGAGATCATTACATGTAACAAAAGAAAAGGAAAGCTACAACCCAAGACAGAAGTGTTGGGAAGGTCTAGGTTTATATATAACTAACCAGATCTCTTTCAATGTCATTTCAGATACAAATACACATGTATGTAGATGCCAGACACAACATTTTTTTCTTCAGAAAATAAGGACCTGTTTAACAACTAAATAGCTCAATTTTCCATTAAACACCAATAATTGTATAATCATCTTTTGTGGCTAAATTGAGAAAATGCAGAATCTTATATGCATGTTTTTACTGAACCTAATAAGCTGAATTGTTATTATTTATCAAATTGATCAAACATCCATAGCATTATTTCAACAAAGCAGAGTGAGTGTCACAATTAGGGGGCATTGAAATCTAGTTTTTTGGTTGCAAATCCATTGCTTCACAAAACTCCTTCATGGTCACTTGGTAAGCATCCTAAAAATTGAAGGAAGTGTATTAAAATGTGCTACACTGGGTGATATCTTGTATTAGGCGAATGGAAGTGAAAATGAAGTCAGGCAAATATTTTTCTTGAAAATAAAGTAAAGCGGGTTGTACACACCTCCTTGATTTCTCCCTTTACATCTTCTGGAGCCACGTGGCGAATTTATGTTAAGACAGAAGGGGGGAAGGCAAATTCAGCTTCTGGGGAGCCAATCTCTCTTCTCTAGCACAAAACGAAATACAAGGCAATCAGGCACAGGGTAGGGGTATTCTCTTTAGGAATTCTCAACAAAACTACCCTACCGGGAATTGCTTATATTTCAACTCATAGCTGAATTTTTTTTAAATGCTTAAGCTTACCAAAGTTATTGTACCACTGAGACCCATGCATGGAAGGATTTGCTACCCATAAGATCCCAACCAGTATTTTTTATCCCAAAAAAGTACCAATGCAACTCATTATATAAAGCAATTTTACGATGATACTAGAAAAATCGCCTTTCCTTGAAATTTCCGATACAGAAACATGGATTTCTGCCGTACAGATGTATAAGCGGATAGTGAGTGAATTTGAAATTGACTACAGCGCGTCCAATAGACCTGTCTTGCTTGCAACATATGACCTCAATTACAACAACAAACGATCAAGCTTCTCAAACAAGCACGATACATACCAACAGTGCGTGTGCTCAGTCACAGTAGTGTAAACAGCGGTTTCTGCGTGGCGGTTTCCCTCGCTTCATTTTATTTTCCACGCTTCCTTCTAGAGACATGGCAAAATGACTCCCATCGTAACTGAAAGGAACAATTAATTATGTTGATACCATATTGATGCCATTTTGTGATCATGCTTTGACTTTCCAAAGATTTTGCCTTGTTTCTGGTCCATCGATAGTATAACCAGATAACTACTACGCAATCAACTTCATCCTTACCCAACATCTCTCATTTCAGACATCATTGTTTCCTTGATATCGACAACTGGAACTTCACTTGCAATTTCTGCGGGGTCTGCTGTCGCCTTTCGTTTGCTTTTCGCTTTCGTTCGTGTTGATTTCGCACTGGCTTTCGGCATCTTTACCAACCTAGCCAATATTTCAAGAAATAAACACAATATATTTTTATTTTTACATGAAAACCGGATTGTTGTTTGTAAATTAAACGATTACTATACATGTACGTTCACTTACCTCAACAAATTTTGTCTTTTGTCCACACGCGGTGTAATTGAACTTACTGGAAGCAAAATAATTATTTCCCGCTGCTTGCCGCGAAAGTTTGTTCCAGTTACACGTTACCTGTCAAAGTCCTATTGTTAGAGAAAATTGATCCCTCTCTGATATCAATCAGAATATACATTTAGGTGTTATAATCTCATTCCAGGTAGGATGCCGCCAAAAATGTATTTTCTATTTTATCTCCGATCGACTCGTACGTTTTGAACTCCAAGTCGGCAGCCTTTCAATCAATTTGGCTAAAATTTGGCCAGAGTGATGCCATGTATCTCTTGTACAAAATCGTGTCTGGGAATTTTAATACTCCTTTTCATTTTAAAGCTAGAGCTTTTTTTCCACAGGTAGTGTTGACTTCTTGCCTTCCCCAACTTCATTTGCTAATAAAAGAAAAACAAACGCACAAAAAAATCTGAGACACGGTTTTTTAGTGGAACGTGTTGAGAAGCGAATGCGGTGTTAATTGTTTTCTTCCGTTAATTTCCGGCGGGAGTGGAACATGATTTATAGAGACGTGCACTTTTACACAAAGCGTTCCAATTTCGAAACACATTTAAGTAAATCGTTTTTGTTAGTTCAAATCCATAATCTGGAATTATTTAGCTTTTAAAAAATAAATGGTTTATAGGGGTTTTTATAAAAACAACTAACGCTACAGCGATCTGCGCGCGGACGGTCCTGAAGGGTGGCTGACACCTTAAGCTAAGCATTTTTCCCCTCTAGCATTGGGCATCCCGAACTGGAATGTATAGCCTTGTCCTTTCTCTTAAAGCTGAAACTCGGGGTTAAAGGAAATCGCTTAAATCGCAATAGATCGGAAAAATAACCATACAGCAAGCAAAAAGAAGTAAAGCAAATAAGGTAAGGTGTATTTTATTGAAAATTCTAGTGAGTATTTATCTTCTTGCATCTTTTACCTGAATTATCATACAAATCCTTTATGTTCATGGCCATTTTAAGGATTAAGCAATATGAAAAACATGTATTAATGATTAAACTCTCATACTGAGCTTGGGCAGCCTGTGGGTTTTTATGTCACGCTTCAACTTTGACATGAGTACTCACAGATCTTGCAGGTAGTATGACCGTATCTATGAGCATTAGGTAGACCGCCAACTTCTGTTGTTTTAAAAATAGTCCTAATTAAAAATAAGATAAATTCTACATTTGCCCTCGAACCTTCGCTTCTCAGCCAAATGCAGGCATTATCCTCCGATGTACCAACATGTGTCACGATGTCGATATTATATAAGTGAAGGACTGGTGCGAAAATTGCTGGCGCTATTCCGAGAACAGATTTATATATAAGAGCGCACTTTAAAATTCGCAATGTGCTCTAAGTTTGGCCGTCACGTTTATGAAAACCAACAGAACTGTTCTCAATTCGACCTTTGCGAATCCGGTCGCAACGATCCGAGCTAAAATGTTGTTTTGTTAGTATAATATGTACGATTAAAAAACGGTTGCTGACCTCTTTCTAGCAACCCTAGTAATGGTGATTGAATACCATGATAACTTTGCTTTCAAATTCAGGTTTTTTCCAAGATCGGGTGTAGTATGAGTGATCCAGTAACATTATCTTACACCTTTCCAGGTAAATTGTTAGAGATTTTAGAGACCACGCATTTTGGTGGTGATTATTTACATGGAGTAATGTAGCCATTAATTTCAGCTAGAAACCAGAATGGATTTTCTAGTGTTCTCGTGGCCAGAACACTGGAATCTCACCCATGTGTCCAGGGTTCGATTCTTGGTTTCGACGGTTAATGTTGGTTGATTTTATTGCTGCTTCTCCTTTCAGAGCTCCGAGGGGTTTTCCTCCGCAGGGTACGGTGCTAAGGATTTTCCCTCTTCTCCAAGTTCCAATTCGATCTAGATAGAGGGCCTCTAGGGAAAATGTTACTTAAGTAGTTGGTGTTACCTTCAATAAATGGAGGTTATTCATTCATTCAGTTTTATTTACTAGCTTATCTATACGCGTCTTAGAGATGGGTGATATATTGTCAAATGAACAGACTGGAATATTTTGAACCATGAATCGCGTTGATGTCGCATTTTTTTTTATGCGCACTATTTTCAGAGAGCGGGCGTAAGTTTTTGAGCTCTATAATATTGCGAAAAGTGAACTTACCCTCCATTTTGAATAATATAAGATTGGAAGCGATAACATTTTTTGAATGGAGAGGCAAAACACAGTGAAAACATTACGCTTATCTTGAACCGGTTCTGCGCGCAGTTTTACTCACTTCGCAGTGAATTTATTTTACGACATAACCAAATCTCGTACGCGCTGAAATAAATGGAAACTTCATCTTTCCTTTTTAACTTTTGAACAAACAAAATTCCCGCAAAATAAAGCAAAGAGCTAGTGGGAGAAAACAATATCATGCTGTATTCATTGTTTAGTTTGCCACCTTCATCATATTAATGAGGGTGGTCATTAATTCTAGGCAACCAATGGTTGAAGCGTTTCCATAGCGTCAATGCATTATTGTGCGTGATATGACAGATCTACGAACTTTGTTGAACAGGAAGTAAATGTCCCGAGAACAATAGGCATTCTCCGCTATCGCGAATCTTATGGACGTCGCAAGTGGCATGTGGTGAAGCCATCCACTACTTTATCGCAAAAATGATAAACAGTAATTGAATGCCATGAATATCTAGACATGTCAGTGGTTAGACGACCACTCACTCGCCGATGCCTAGGGCAGAGGCAAAAAATTGGACTGCGAATAATTGACTTGATCTGCAAAACACTCCCGATATTTTGCAAAACGAATTTAATGAAGTTATCATTTAATCGGAATGTCTCTTTTGTAATACAGTTTAGCGGAGAAATGCGGAGCAGCTACTGTCAGCACAGACAGGGAACAAACGGCGTATAAGTAGAGCATTTTCAACAGCAAAACAACATTGCTAAATAGCTATCTGCAGTGACGTTACCTCTCGCTCAATCAAACTTCGAAAAAGTTTTCTGAATGATAACAATGAAGTACTAAAAATCAAGGATGTGTTGGACGAGAAAAGGGTCGTTGTTGTATAGGGCGATCACTTGAATGCAATATCCTTATCCTGAGTGTTTTAAATCGAAGTCCCTTCGGCAAGAAGTTTTGTCTTCTCTTGATCTCTACTCGCCGCTTGGGGTGAATATCTTAAAAGCA